GTGCAAGGATGGATTCTCCAGAATGATCACCAAAGGAGATTTTGACAAGTTGAAGCAAAAAAAACACCTGCCTAAGTTGGAGCAGGCAGAGCAGCTGATGTGTGCAGCCTGGGAGGCTGTGGAGAAATCTGGCTTCCCCATGGCAAAGACTGCCAAAGTCTTTGGCAAATTTCAGATTCGATTGGTCCTCCACCTCCTGGACAAGGAAGTCAAGGGAAGGGAAGGAACCAAGTATGAATCTTTTGAAGATATCAAGAACCGGTTTGAGGATGACTTGTTGCAGGCTGACAAGGAGACTGCAGCTGTCTCTGCACCTGAAGCCAAGGCTGTGTCCTCACAAAGTGTCAAGTCTTTGATGGATGCCAAAGATACACAAGCCATTGCTTTGGCAGCGCACAAGCACATTCAGCTGGGGAAGCTCTATGTGCACAAGAAAGAGAAGGAGGAAACCAAGGTGTGGAAGCTCACTGGCTTCATCGATGGTGGTGCCAAGTTTGTCCACAAGCCCTTCTTCAGAGCAGCTGAAGAGATCACTGTGTTGCACAGTGATTGGAATGATTGGAAAGAATACAAGAAACCTGAGCCTGAGCTGGTTTCTCATGAAGTCAGTGGTGCTTTGCTACCTTGTTCCTCCAAGGGCTTGGATGATGAGATGGCCAGAGCTCAAGCACAGTGGGAACTCTATGAGAAATGCAAAGAGTTTCTGGCAAGTATGTTAAGTTTTTTGTCTGTATGTGTTTGTTTTCCCAAAGTGTTTGAACCTCTGGGGATTGGAGCTCAGGCTGGGCGATCCAAGTGTTCTGGTCTCCAACCAGGGCCAAGTGTTTGCAAGTCAAAAGGTTGCCAAAGGAAAGCTATGTTTGCTTCCAATGGGCAGCTTGCAATTGGTGGAGGAGAGTAAGCTCATGAAGGGCCAAGTCTACATAAAGTGTGGCAACTTGGGCAGCCATCATGTCTATGTGATTCATGCCTTCAAGTGCGACTTTACCAAGGAGACTGGGATCTTCAGCCCTTTCTCGTTTGTGAAGCAAGCTACAAATGATGAGGAGGGCACTATGGCAAAGCAGATGGTGAAGCATGGGAGTTTGCAGATTCCATGTTATGTGAACAAGAAGCAGGTGGAGAAGGGCACTCGGTTGTTTCTGGATCCTCCAGAGCCTGACACCACTGCCTCCAAGAAAAGGAAGGTAGTGAAGTAGAAGTGATTTGTGCTATAGATTGCATTTTGACTTTGCAAGGCTGAAGCCAAAAAAGGTTTGCCTATACAGGTTATTGCTAGGTCAAATGCCAATGAACTAGTGCAAGTTCATTTGTGAAACTGGCAGCCTTTAGAGGCTGGTTCTTCAAGCTTATTGCTATAAGAATAAGCAAACAAATTCAATCTCTAATCTCCTGCTGCTTTGCCTCCCAAGGTTAGAAGTAGCTTGACCAGCTGTTGAGCAACGCAGGTCTCTGATGTCACCTGCTTGGCATACAGAGGTGGGCCTCAAGTGATGCTTAGTGAGAGCCTCATCCATATAGATGAAAACCAAAAAAAATGGCTCAAATTCAAGGCTAGCAGCCACACATTGACCAAATGTGTGCTTGGTCACTTGAAAGAATACAAAAGTGTCAAGAATCCTTCACTTGCTGCATCACCACAGGTGAAAGCAATTCAGGACCTGATCAAGGCAGCAGTTTCCAAGCATGATGAAGGAGAAACAAACATTTTTGAAGATGATCATGAGCAAGCTTCCACCTCCCTAGAAAAGGGCAAGCCAACCAAAAAAAAGATGTTGCGTACAGCCCCTGACACAGTGGATGTCATGCTGGGTGATGCTTGTGTGACCTTCAAGACACCAAGCAGCTGGAAGGAGGTGATACTTGTACCTTTGGAGCCTGGCCCTTTGACATTGGTATGTGATTGGATCATGCAAGACATTGGGATTTGTCTGAGCCAGAAGAGGCGAAATTACACTAAGTCTGGCAACTTTAGCAAAAAAGCCAGAGTAGACAAAGATGATGACAGTTCAGAATGACTGAGCTGGACAGCTGGCCTAAGTGAAAAAACAAGCTACATGTGTGTATGTTTAGCCTATGCAGGCTGATGCTTTGGCCAATGCAGGCCCATGCTTAGCCTATGCAGGCTCATGCTTGGCCTATGCAGGCTCATGCTTGGCCTATACAGGCTCATGCTTGGCCTATGCAGGCTCATGCCCAGTGATAATGCCATTAAGTTCACAGCCAATGAAGGCTTCACATATATTGTATATAGGATCCAGCTGTTGCTTTTGCAGCAGTTTTTGCTCAATGTCTGCCAAGATGGAGGCAGCACTAACCTGGCAGGCCTTGTGCCAGGTGTTTCAAGAGCGAGCCAATGTTCTGTTTGTATCCTGGCTTTTTAATTCTCCAAACAAGTTTGCTAGTTTCAGCCAACATAGCAATACATGCCTCATCCAAGGCAGCTGACCAGGAGGGGATCAGTGTGCCACCAAAGCACTCTGACCAGGAGTGTCTTGCATTGCTATATTTAGAGTTGTGTTTTTCAATTGTTCATTTGTGACAAAGCCTTGACTGAAGCCATCTGGCTGTTTACTACATAACCAAGCAAAGTGCAAGTGTGTGTGTGTTGTCTGCAGGAGGCACCAATGAAGACCGAGCAGCACTGGGACACTTGGTCACCTGACTGGGGAGGAGACACAGTCCAGGGCTTAGCAAACTAACCAAACAAAACTGTTTATTTCAGACAGCCAATACAGGCTCATGCAATAAAGCCATTACAGGCTGATGTCTTTAAGCCACTACAGGCTGCTGCAATCAGGCTACTACAAGCTAATGCAATTAAGCCATTACAGGCTGATGATATTTGCACTCAAGCAATTCCATGCTTACAAAACACACTGATGAATTTTTTCATTGAGGAACCGCCTTCACCAGATGGAGTGCGACTACCAGAAGAACCGGTGGCACCAAAGCATGAGCCAGAAGATACAGAGGAATCCATGCAACCTAAGCCAAAGAAGAGAATGAAAACAAGCCTTCTCAAACCAGTTGGGATGGAAACTGTTCTTTGATTAAATGTGATCACATACATTTTTATTTTTTGTTTATGAAAGGTGCTTGTGTGCCTAGCATGCTCACATTGTTTTTGTACAAGGTTAACCTTGGCCCACATGCACAGGCTATGGAATCTTCACCAGTCAAGCCTGCTGATCCTGGACCATCGAAGCCTCAAGGTACACAGCAACCTCCTGAAGCAGCTGAACCAGTTAAGTCCCAGGCAGCACCACAACCTGCTGAGCCAGCTGTACCAGAAGTGAAGCCTCAAGGATCCCAGCATCGTCCTAAACCTACAGTGCAGCCTCAGGGTGCTGCGAAGCCAAATGAACCAGCTGGACCTCCACCTGTGCATGCACAGACTTCTGGTTGGACAAAGGTGGATCCTTTGACAGAGGCAATCAATGATTCGACTGCAGCAGGCTCTTCCAGTGGACAGTCATGGTGTGATATGACTTGTGGCTATGATGAATATGGAACATGGTGGGAGAGAGATGGCTATGATGACAAGTTGTGGTGGTTCAAGAAGGATCACGAGTCTTGGCGCAGATGGAGGGACCAAAGTGCACCTTGTCTTTTAGTATTGTTTTGTTGTTTTGTGAGCCTTATGGATTTGGTTATATGAGCACCAAAAGATTTTGATCCATTGGTATTTGATGTAGTGTTTTGTGGTATTGCAGGATCCTGATGACTACAAGCAGACTGGTTGGCAAAACAAAGCACTTGCCCTAGTCCACATGCATCTCAAGGGCAACACTGCCAATCTGAACTTCTACCTGGACAGGCTGTCAGAGCATCATGCTTTGGAGAAACCACTTGCAAAGTTGTCAAGAGCCTATCAAAAGGAAGGTGTTTCAGTGTACAGGAAATACATTTAGTTTCACTCACTGGCCACCTGTGACAGCACAAAGCTCTATGGCAAGCAGAAAAAATAGTTATAGCTTTTACAAGCTCAAAGATCTTTAGCCTGTGCAGGCTCATAGCTTAGCTTATGAAAGCTTATGAAACCAAAGAAAAGTATATAACAATAGAAGTTTTGGGCTCAATGTTCACATGCTCAGGTGACAAACATCATATATAAATCAAATCTTAAAAAATAGCGATTTTTTATTGTCAATTTAGAATTTTAAATTGAAAATTAAGGATTTTGATTTTCAATTTAGTATTTTAAATTGAAAATCAAAAATC